ACCCCTTATCCCCTATCCCCTATCCCTTATCCCTTATCCCTTATCCCTTATCCTCGCCCCCTGGCCCGGTGCTCAGCCCCCTTCTCCCCCTGCAGTCCTCCGTGAAGCTGAAGCTGATCTGCGCCCAGGTGCTGCGGGACCTGCTAGGGGAGGCCATGGAGGTGAGCAGGACCCCCCTCGGCGGGGTCTTATAACCCTATAATTGCATAATTGTGGGCTTTTCGATGCTTAATGCAAGCCTTAGCGTTAAAACTGCTCCCAACCAGCACTCATGGAAATAATAGAGATGTTAAGAATTAGTCGTATTAGTTAAAAAGTGTTAGAATTACTGTGTTGGTAGCGTGTGACGTGGTACGTAGTGCTCATGCTGATAGCCTTGTGCTCTACTCGCCCGCAGTATGAGAAGATCCTGAAGCTGACCTCAGACGCCAAATTGGGTGAGCGCTGCTGCCCCAGCCTCCCTGAGAGCCGTGTTGCGGAGGCAGGAGGGTTAACCCCTCCATCCCGCCCGCAGAGTCGGGGGACGTGAAGGCCACCATTGCTGTCCTTGGCTTCATCCTCTCCAGCGCTGCCAAGCACAACGTGGACAGCGAGTCTCTGGCGAGCGAGCTGCAGCAGCTGGGGCTGCCCAAAGGTGCGGGGACCCTCGGGGTGGCACCAGGGGCTGGAGCTGCTGGCATGGCTGCTGTGTTGGTCCCTGTCACCACCCGTCCCTGGGTGCTTTAAAGAGGTTTGGGGTGAGTTCTTTTGTCTCCCTCCCTGGGCAGAGCATGCCAGCGGGTTGTGCCGGTCCTACGAGGAGAAGCAGAGCTCGCTCCAGGACAGCCTCAGGGCTTGCAGCCTGAGATGTGAGTGGGGCCTCAGGCAGTTGGAGGGGTCAGGGTCGATCACTCTGCCCAACTGCCCCGGGGTGCTGACACCCACCCGTCCGCCCCAGTGAGCCGGCTGGGCTCAGTGTGCTGGCGGGTGGATTACACCCTCAGCTCCAGCGAGCTGCAGGAGGTCAACGAGCCCCTCATCCACCTGAGCTTCACCCTGCGGGACGGGGAGCGTGGAGGGACGGTGGCCGTCCCCGTCACTCTCTCGGCCGACAAGTTCCGGGTGCTGCTGGCAGGTGAGGACCCGTACAGGGACCCCCGTCCCTCGGGTGGGGAATACTGGGTGGGTGGATGTGGTACCGGTGGCTCTGACATCGCCTCCTCCCTCTCTCTGCAGAGCTCAAGCAGGCCCAGGCC